CAGATCTAGCAGAGGAAGTTCTACATGTCTGGGTTTATATCAGAACTTTACTGTAAATCAGATTAATTCTGGATGTTGATCAGGATTTACTGAGAAAATCAAACCACAACATTCTTCAACATGTTGGTTCTTTAGAGTGCAGACAGCTGATGTAACCGACAGGAGGCGCATCCTGAGGGTGGTGGGTCAGGCCCGGCGGGCTGCATAGACTTTACCACCTAGAAGTGATCCTGTGTGAGATTAGACCAACTTCTTTGTCCACTCAGATGAACATCTGTAGCATAATGTTTATATTCCTGCAGTCATGTGACTCTCGATAGCAGCTTATTTTCACCCCCACTGTTATCCTAGAGCTGCTAGCTCTAGACAGGCTGATCTGCAGGTCTAGATTGGTAACATGTGGCTAAACAGACTGTTAGGAGGATGAATGCATAAATGAAATTGATAATTTAATCCAGATTATAAATCTGGATGAGTCGTGCAGAATGTATTCTCTCCATTCTGTGGAGAGGCTCCTGCTAGCTGCTAGCTGCTTCATGCTAACAGTGCTTTAGCCGAGTGGCTGTGAGGTCATCCTGGGACACCGGCTGGATGACTAAGATTCCTCTGCTTACATTTCATCCTCCTCTTCCTGGAGTCTGGCATCAATTTAGAGCTCGCTGCCTTCTGAGTTCTAAGCTTTAAAGAATGGGGGGGGGGGGGGGGGTTCTACATGGAGATAGTTTGATAAAACAGCAGCTTAATATTTATTTCACTTATGTGGTAAAAGAGTCCAAAAGCTTTGGTCAAGATTTTCACACAAACATGTGTTGTGCTGTTAAGAATGAACTGAAACTGCAGCTACCTCTCTAACCTGCTGTCCTGTGGGGTTAGGGTTTAACTTTCTTCATCATCTCTAAAGTCCCGCAAACACACATTTATCTGGTCTCTTTGTCCAGCTTTGGGCAAAACGTGACAATCAGCAGAAACATTCAAGTTAACCGGTCCCAGAGTGGAGGCAAAACCAAGTACTCTGTCCAAGGTCCGGACTCTTATAGCACCACATCATTATGCATCATTAGGGGGAATTTTTTAGCATTTCTTATCTTTACAGCTTTCTATAAGAAGCTCTGTCTGTCATAGTCAGATAATAAACATGTCCCTTTTGTCGGGTGTTTTCCTCCAGGCCTTAAAAACAGCGGTTATTAAACAACAGTTCGAAAAAAGCAACATGGACAAGCTGCTCCTGCAGAACTACAGGCCCGTCTCAAAGCTCCCCTTCATCAGTCAGATTATTGGAAATGCCGTGATTCATTAGCCAAACCCCTTCCAAACAACAACCATCAACTTCACCGTCTTGCTTCCTTCCGCACCCCAGAACAGAGACTTACCTGTTCAACATCATTCATATAAATGCTGCCTGAGGGGCGTGCAGGTGGAGCAGTGGTTAGCGCGCACAGTCCGTGTACGGAGGCCTTAGTCCTCGATGCGGCTGACCTGGGTTCAAATCCGACCTTTGGTCCTTTGCCGCATGTCTCTCCCTCTCTCTCATTCCTCCTTTCCTGTCAGCCTACTGTCAGAAAAATGAGCCACTAGTGCCGTAAAAAAAAAAAAAAAAAAATACAAGTAAGCATCCAGCTTCAGCTAATCTAGCTAGAAAGCAGCAACCAGACTCTGAATCTGGACTCAGACCTGAACCTTCAGAGGCTCAGAGAGACAGAAACACAGAGGATCTTCTACCACCTGGAGAACATCTGCAGGATTAAAGGACTGATGTTGAAAAACTGCTTCCTACCGCCTCACTAGAACTATAGAAAGTAGATCAGACGGCTGATCCAGACGCTGCTGCCTGCGTCCTCACTAGAACTATAGAAAGTAGATCAGACGGCTGATCCAGACGCTGCTGCCTGCGTCCTCACTAGAACTATAGAAAGTAGATCAGACGGCTGATCCAGACGCTGCTGCCTGCGTCCTCACTAGAACTATAGAAAGTAGATCAGACGGCTGATCCAGACGCTGCTGCCTGCGTCCTCACTAGAGCTATAGAAAGTAGATCAGACGGCTGATCCAGATGCTGCTGCCTGCGTCCTCACTAGAACTATAGAAAGTAGATCAGACAGCTGATCCAGACGCTGCTGCCTGCGTTCTCACTAGAACTATAGAAAGTAGATCAGACAGCTGATTCAGACGCTGCTGCCTGCGTCCTCACTAGAACTATAGAAAGTAGATCAGACGGCTGATTCAGACGCTGCTGCCTGCGTTCTCACTAGAACTATAGAAAGTAGATCAGACAGCTGATCCAGACGCTGCTGCCTGCGTCCTCACTAGAGCTATAGAAAGTAGATCAGACGGCTGATCCAGACGCTGCTGCCTGCGTCCTCACTAGAGCTATAGAAAGTAGATCAGACGGCTGATCCAGACGCTGCTGCCTGCGTCCTCACTAGAACTATAGAAAGTAGATCAGACAGCTGATCCAGATGCTGCTGCCTGCGTCCTCACTAGAACTATAGAAAGTAGATCAGACGGCTGATCCAGATGCTGCTGCCTGCGTCCTCACTAGAACTATAGAAAGTAGATCAGACGGCTGATCCAGACGCTGCTGCCTGCGTCCTCACTAGAACTATAGAAAGTAGATCAGACAGCTGATCCAGACGCTGCTGCCTGCGTCCTCACTAGAACTATAGAAAGTAGATCAGACAGCTGATCCAGACGCTGCTGCCTGCGTCCTCACTAGAACTATAGAAAGTAGATCAGACAGCTGATCCAGACGCTGCTGCCTGCGTCCTCACTAGAACTATAGAAAGTAGATCAGACAGCTGATCCAGACGCTGCTGCCTGCGTCCTCACTAGAACTATAGAAAGTAGATCAGACAGCTGATCCAGACGCTGCTGCCTGCGTCCTCACTAGAACTATAGAAAGTAGATCAGACAGCTGATCCAGACGCTGCTGCCTGCGTCCTCACTAGAACTATAGAAAGTAGATCAGACAGCTGATCCAGACGCTGCTGCCTGCGTCCTCACTAGAACTATAGAAAGTAGATCAGACAGCTGATCCAGACGCTGCTGCCTGCGTCCTCACTAGAACTATAGAAAGTAGATCAGACAGCTGATCCAGACGCTGCTGCCTGCGTCCTCACTAGAACTATAGAAAGTAGATCAGACAGCTGATCCAGACGCTGCTGCCTGCGTCCTCACTAGAACTATAGAAAGTAGATCAGACAGCTGATCCAGACGCTGCTGCCTGCGTCCTCACTAGAACTATAGAAAGTAGATCAGACAGCTGATCCAGACGCTGCTGCCTGCGTCCTCACTAGAACTATAGAAAGTAGATCAGACGGCTGATCCAGACGCTGCTGCCTGCGTCCTCACTAGAACTATAGAAAGTAGATCAGACAGCTGATCCAGACGCTGCTGCCTGCGTCCTCACTAGAACTATAGAAAGTAGATCAGACAGCTGATCCAGACGCTGCTGCCTGCGTCCTCACTAGAACTATAGAAAGTAGATCAGACAGCTCACAGCCCGTCAGTCTGACACAGCTGGCTCCTCCCTTCAGGCTGTATCTTCCAATCCTTCTGACCTGCTTCTATAAACCTGCTTCTATGTTTGTCTATAATTTTCAACAGTCTGGCCCTTGATTGGGAGCTTTCATGGACAAATGATGGAAGTCTGTCTGTCTGTCTGTCCCTCCTGGCATACCAGGGTCCGCCTCTCTTCCAGAGATCATTGGATTAGTTTTTGGTTGCACCATAAACTGGTCACCAGTATGTCACTGGTTAGCAGGCAGCAGCACATGTTTCTGTTCAGCTGCTCTGGTCAGTCTGAGGACAGAGCAGTGAAATGAGGCCTGGGGGTCGAGGCAGGAAAGGAAAGAAGAACAAGCATGAAGTCATTGCGTGTTACGGGGGGGGGGGGGGGTCACATTCTCTGGAGGCTGATGTGATGAAGAGGTTCATCCTCTGCATTGTTACTGATGGAGGTCCTGCTGGCAAAGGAAGCATCCATGGCGTCACATATGGAGCCTTTTTATCAGCAGTGTTTCCCTGAAAGCAAACAGTCGGCAGGCCTGGTTTGGTTTGTTTCTTCATCTCCGCCCTTTTTCCTCTCAGGGCAAATATTTCCTCCTGGGTGGAGAACGCCGCCGCTAGCAGAGAGTATGGCTGCCAAGAAGGGAGGTCATGACCTGCTGCTCCCCTTAGATGATGTGAAAAGGGCGGGGGGGGGATAAATAATAATTTGACTTGGTGTTGATAGAGCAGACAAATTAGATAGACATGCAGAATACAGAATATACACATATAGCTAAATATAATATAAAAATATGATAAACTGTATAAAATATATAGTATATTATATTATATTATATAGTATAAAGTATATAGCTACATAGACAGTAGGTTGTGCATTAATGTAACACATCTGGTTTGTGTAGCTTCTAGGTCCTGAACGGGGGAGGGAGAGAGGGGGTGACGGGGTCTCTGGTCCTTGCTGATCAGGCTGGTAGCGGATGGGAAGAACGTGATGTTCTGGTCCTGATGGAACGCAGCCTCCTGCCAGAGGGAAGTAGCTGAAATAGTTTGTTTCTGGGGTGCGAGGGATCAGCCACCATCTTCCCTGCAGGCCTCAGAGTCCTGGAGGCGTACAGATCCTGGAGAGATGGAAGATTGCAGCCAATCACCTTCTCTGCAGACCGGATGACACGCTGCAGTCTGTCCTCATCCTTGGCGGTGACACCAGCGTACCCGATGGTGATGGAGGAGGGGAGGATGGACTCAATGATGGAGGAATAGAAGTGCACCATCATTGTCCTTGGAAGGTTGAATGCAGGAAGTTCATCCTCTGCTGGGCTTTCGTGGGGAGGGAGTTGATGTTCAGCTCCTACTTTAGGTCCTGTGAGATGATAGTTCCCAGGAAGAGGAAAGACTCCACATTGTCAACTGTGGACACTGGTTCTGGTTCTGGTTCCAGTTTTGAGCCCTGCAGCTGAGATGCTGTTTCTAACAGATGGATCTTCTCCCTGCAGGCTCCAAACAGCGACCCCCCCCCTCTGCCCAGCTCCTCGCTCCCAGAAGGTTACTATGAGGAGGCAGTTCCTCTAAGTCCTGGAAAGGCTCCTGAGTACATCACCTCCAGTAAGTAACCAACACTCTGCTAGCATCGATCCAGTTTGTTCCAGTTCCATTAAAAATGGCCTGTGTGTCTCAGACTACGACTCGGACGCCATGAGCAGCTCCTATGAATCCTACGATGAAGAAGAGGAAGATGGGAAGAGTCAGAAGATGCGTCACCAGTGGCCATCAGAGGAGGCGTCCATGGATCTGGTGAAAGACGCCAGAATCTGCGCCTTCCTGCTGCGTAAGAAGCGTTTCGGCCAATGGACCAAACTTCTGTGCGTCATCAAGGACAACAAGCTGCTGGTGAGACGCTGGACAACGTTCCAGCTTTCATCTTTAGTTCTTTAGAGGAAATGAAACCGATTTATGTTTGTTCTGTAAACTCTGAACCGGGTCCAGCTTCTCATGGTGCCCGCAGGTTCTGTTTGGGTTCTAGTCAGACCATTTGCTGCCCATTAAACCCAGTAGCACCTTGTTGACTGGGCCAGCCTTTGGTACCGTTGGCAGTGTCCTGCTGAAAGATTAGCTTAGCAGAAGAAGCTTGGAGTGTTCTGGAATGTTCTGGTAGATGGACCAGAACACGGTACCAGTCAAAACTGTTGGTTCTGTTCTTCAGATACTGAATCCAAAATGAAAAGGAAACTTTAACCCCTGACCCAGTTTCTCCTTGTCCCAAGTTGGACGGTTCTGTCTCTGGTTCTGAGGCCCATGTGGATGAAGCTTCAGCCTCAGGCGTTCTTCCCTCTTCCTTCCTTCTTCCTTCCCTCTTCCTTCCTTCTTCCTTCCCTCTTCCTTCCTTCTTCCTTCCCTTTTCCTTCCTTCTTCCTTCCCTCTTCCTTCCTTCTTCCTTCCCTCTTCCTTCCTTCTTCCTTCCCTCTTCCTTCCTTCTTCCTTCCCTCTTCCTTCCTTCTTCCTTCCCTCTTCCTTCCTTCTTCCTTCCACTCAACTTTTTATGGATGTGTTTGGAAGCAGCTGCTTTAAGCAATCCCCTCCTTGTGGGCGGAGTCTCCTAGACATCCATCCAATCAGCATCCCAGGGAGTCTGACCTTTTCCAGATGTTTGGGGTTAATTTGTTCATCAGGATGAGGACTCGTTAGCTTCCATCCTTTAGCTTCTTCAAACCTTATTGAGAAGCTGAATTTCAGGGTTTTATTTTGAAATGACAAGATAGTGGCTCAGATATTTCCCCCAGTGATGAACCAGTCTAATAATTACGTTTCTGAACAATCGCCTGGTTTTTATCTCTCACTTCTCTGGGTTGATTATTTTCCAGCTGATTTCAGATCCTAACAGATCCCTGCTCAGTTGAATTTTTCCTTTAGCAAAGACGACAGATAGAAGCTTTTTGAAAAGATTCCCTGACAGGAAAACTGAAAGTTTCTGGATCTGTTTTCCTGCCGATGGTTCTGGACGTCCTCCGTCTGATTTCTGTCCTGTAATGTGGTTGTTGTGCTTTTCTGCTTCTAGTGCTACAAATCATCTAAAGACCAGACGCCACAGATGGAGCTGAGCCTGTCGGGATGCAGCATCGTCCACGTCCCTAAAGACGGCAAGAAGAAGAAGCACGAGCTGAAGATCGTTCACCAGGGGGCAGACCCGCTGGTCCTGGCAGTGCAGAGCAAAGAACAAGCCGAGGAATGGCTGAAGGTTCACAGAGCAACAATGTTAATAATAACCACTAGTTACTAACTAACTAATTAGTAACTAATAGTTTCCCTGAAGGGTAACAAGGGTCAAATTAAACAATATGTAGAAGTTCTGCAGAAACAATCTTTTCATCTTGAGATGTTCTGAATGTTTGGACCCAAAAATATTAATGAAAGTATTGATGTGTTGAAGATGGAAGGAACTTATGAACTCCAGACTTCACGGCGCCGTCACACCTTGGAGATTCATCCAGCGTCTGCCTGACGTCCCAGAATCTCCTAAAACGCTGAACCTTCTTTTCTGGCCGTAAACATTCATAACGAGTCCAGAACTTCTATCCAATGACAGCCTAACTTCTGCTTAACGCACGGCAGCGCAAAGCCGTGGTACATAACGTAGCTGCTGCAAGGAAGGAAGGAAGGAAGGAAAGAAAGAAGGAAGGAATGAAGGAAGGAAAGGTTTTTGATGGCAGCAGATTCAGCGTTATGTCTGCTAGGAAGTTTGTTGGTGGTGGGCATGAGCGTCTTTCAGCGTGTTTCAGCCTGCTTCAGTGTGCTTCAGAATTGTCATGATGGGTTCACTGAAAGCGACCCAAGAATGCAGAACACCACTGACGGACACAAGGATGAAAGTTAAACAGTTTATTTATGCACAAGCACACAGAGTATTCAGGTTCAGGTTCGGGGCCTGGATTCTGGTTCACCGGAGTCTGCGTGAGAGACAGTTCAGTTAGCGTTGCCAACAGAGGTTTGATTTCCAGAAGTCTACTGATTGTACCTTGAGGGTTCTTGAGGTTAGCTTTGGGAGAGTCACTGTTGGTTCTGGAGATGAGTTCATGAGCAGAGTCCGTAGCTGCTTCAGCGTCTCACGTCTACTTAGAACAGACCTTGGCTTGGGGTTTTCCAGCTCTAGTCCAGAGCTGCTTGGAGGTTCTCTGTGAATCTTCGGGTTTGGCTCAGAGGGTCGGCTCGGCAGGTTAGCTCTTCCAGAACTTTCACAGAGGAGGCACAGGTTTCCTGGAAAACAGACACAGGGGTTAGAATCCACGCTGGATTCAAAAGTCATCAAATTACTCTGAGGATCTAGGCTTAAGCGCTGACCAACTGGAACAACACTGCGGCGTTGAGGCAAGGTCTGAAGACAGCTTAAGTAGTGGATCCTCTGATGATCTTGACGAGCTGCAGCTGTGCAGGAGGCTCCCTCAGAGGATCCACGGCGGACTCTGCTGGAGAAAGGTGGAATTTCTCCAGCTCCCAACAGTACCCCCCCCTCAACGACCGCCCCTTGGCGGTCCGGAAGAGGTTGATGGGCAGGAACGCTCGTACTCCTCGATGAGGGCTGGATCGAGGATGTACGAGCCTGGAACCCACTGGCGATCCTCCGGTCCGTAGCCCTCCCAGTCGACGAGGTACTGCCATCCGCGACCTCGTCGACGGGAGTCCACGATGCAACGAACCGTGAAGGCCGGATGTCCATCGACCCCCCAGGGCGGGGTGGGGGGGGAGTGGCGGTGGGCAAAGGGGGCCGAGGGGGAAAGGCCCTTGATCTGGGACACGGGGAAGGTGGGGGGGAAATCGGGGGGGGGGGGACTGAGGTGTGGAGAGGGGAGGGGCAAAAGGGGTTTGGGATGACTGAGTGACCCTTTAGGGCCCGTGAATTTTTAGGGGAGACCCAATACCTCCTGACCTAGGGCAAAATCTGGGGGGGATTTTCCCCCCGGGCGTCGGCGAAGCGCGAAGCGAATGGGGATTGCCCGGGTGGTTTGCGATCTGGGGAGTTATGGGCGTATTCAACCCATGGAAAATTTTGGCCCCAACCCCGGGGGTTTTTAGACGAAAAGGCACCCTTGGAAGGGTGGGTTTCCCAAATTTGTGATTCATGCGTTCAGTCTGCCCAAATTCGATTGGGGGTGGAAACCCAGGGTGAGAGAGGGTTTGCCCCGAGAGGGGAAAACGAATCCCTTCCCCGACCTGGGAGATGAATGGGGCCCTTGCCCGGAGGATCTCTTGGGGAATCCCTTTGAAACCGAAAAACATGCTTAAGGGAGAAGCGGGCCCCTTTTGGAACCCCCCGGGGGAAAAGTTTTCTGAGGGGAAATAAGATGGCAGGCCTTCGAGAAGGGTAAAACGATAGTAAATTGGTGGACATCCCTTTGAGAGACAGGGGGGCCCGGGTGACGAAATCGGGGGCGAAAAGGGACCGGGGAAAATCGAGGGAACAGGAAGGGGGTTTGAAGGAAGGCCAGAGGGGGGTTGGTGTGGGCTTTGTTACGGGCACATGTGGGGAAAGCCAACACTTTCTCCTTTACGTCCCTTTTGGGAGGGGGCCCAAACCGGAAGGTCGGGAGATAGGGTTTACAGTTTATGAAAACCTGGATGAGCGGGAATTTGGCGGATGTACCCCCGGGATAAAAAAGGCCCTTGCCCAGAAGAGGGAAATATAAACGTTTTGAGGGGCCCTTTAAACCTGGATCGGGTTCAGGGGCCGGGGTGAGGGGTTTGAGGCCCAGTTATCTCCCAGTTGCCACCCCAAATGTAAATGAAGCTGGAAGGATTGGTTCGGGTTTGTCTGGGAAGGGACCCGAGGGAAAGTAGAGAGAGAGAGGGAAGGGGGCTTCTCGTTTTTTGGTCCGGGTCTGTAGGAGTTGATTAAGTTAAACCCGAGAAAAAAATTTTTCACCCCCCTGGTTTGGGAGGATTAGCTTTTTTTTTTTTTTTTGGGATGAAAACCCAGGTTCTTGTGGTTTTGTCCATACAAAAAACGGGTGCTCAGCTCCCCCCAACCCAAATGCCCCCTTTTCCCCAGTCCCCCGGTTTAAAAGGGCCAGGAGTTCTGGGGCACCCAAATCTTTAATTTGTAGGGGTTTTGGAAAGTACGGGGAAGAAAGCCCCGGGGGGTTTGTTTTTTGATCAGAGTTAGTTTGGGGAAAAGGCCCTGCCCCCAAACACGGAATTGAAGACCCAAACCTTAGAAAAAATTGTTTAGCAGGATAGGTTGTGGGGAAATGGTGCTTTTTGGAAAACAATGCCCTTTAATTTATCAAATGCTCCCTTAGCCGGGGAGCCCACTAAAAGCTGGTTTGATAGATGTCAAGAATTTAAAGGAAGGGGGGTTTGGGCCTTTTAGTTTTGAAAAACCCGCGATAAAAGTTGAAAAAACCCCAAAAAACCTTTGAAGTTGTTTGGGGTTTTTTGGAACAGGCCATTCAAAAAACTGCCTTGACCCTTGCCCCTCAGAGGGTTTAACCGGGGCCCCCCCTCGGCCCCAAACCCCAAAAAGGGGGGATAAAGGTTTGATGAAATTCGCATTCTGGGTTTTTCACAAACCAGTTTGTTCCCCAGCAGTCTTGTAAAAACAAGACGGAGTGTTTTTTATGTTCGTCGAGGCCCTTTTGGGAAAATTGAGAATGTTCCTTTTACAAAAAACAAAAACTTTGAAAAAAGTCTTTTTAGAACATCTTTTAACGAGGGTGGAAGCAGGGGGGGGGAGCGTTGGTTAGTAAAAAGGGGGCAAAAACCGGGTTTATTAAATTTGGGCCCCAAGGGTTTTTTAAAGGGCCCTTTTTCCCCAATTTTGGGCCTTCACGGATCCTAAGGAGTTTGGAAAGCGTTTTTTTAAATCCAGTTTAAAAAATTTAAAATTTAGCTCCTGAAAGGGGCTAAAAAGCAGAGGGCAAGGGGGGGCAGTGGGTATTTTTTTTTTTAATAGGGGGACCCCGGTTTTAAAATCGATAGTCAATACAGGGTCTAAAGGGACATCCTTTTTCCCCTTTCAAAGAAAAACCCCCGGCCCCCCAAAGGAAAAAGTTTGAAGGGCAAAATTTTTCCCAAGTGTTTAATTTTTTTGTTGATGTATTTTTCCCCATAGTTTCTCTTTCGGGCTTGGAGATGTTTTACAATCTCTGTAGGAAAGGGGGGCCACCAGGAAAACGTTCAATGGCGAAATTCTTTATGGTCTGTGGGGGAGGTGGGGGACGTCCCCATGCCTTACTGAAGCGGGGGTTTGGGGTCATGGTACTCGGGGGAAACGGAAGAAAGGTCAGGAGGCCCTTTCCCCCCCCCCATTAGGAGCCCCAACCAAGGGGGCAGCGAACCCCGGGGATGTTTCTTTTGGCATGAGATGGCCCATGATTCCAGGTGCTTTTGGGCCCCATTTTTATTGAGGATTAGCTTCCCCAAACCTTCGAAGCCTAGCACAGGGGGGAAATGCAAAAGGGAAAAACAAAAAATTTTGGATAGTTTTTCCCGGTGGTTCAATGACAAGGTAGCTCGAGGGGCTGAGTTTAAAGGGTAACTTGATGGGGGCCTTTTCCCCGTCAATAGGGATACATGGGGAGGTAAAGTCAGAGGAATAGTTTAAAATTTGGGATTTGCTGGACGGGGTTTGGGAAATCGATTAGGTTACATTCACCCCTGGTCGATGAATGCGAGAAAGAGGGCTCTGGTTGGAACAAAAAAAGTGTGGCGGGCAGAAACCCAGTCGAGGGATTTTTGGGTTTTAAATTTGGGCCCCGCCAGACTCCTCAGACCCTCGGGGGGCCCAGGCTTTTGATTTAGCCGGGGCAGGAAGCAAGGGAAAGTGTCCACTTCCCCACAGTAAAATTTTTGTTTGTTAGAAAACGCTTGGGGTCCTCCTCTGGAGTGGGGCCGGGGGTGTTTTCCCAACCCTGCATGGGTTCGAATCCCTTTCCCCCCCGAATAAAGAGGCCTGAACAGGAAACCCGGTTTAGTAGGGACGGGGGCTTAGCCCCTCTGAATGGGCGGCTGCTCTGTAGGGAGAAAAAAACATTTCACGTTTTTTTAGGCAGAAAAAATGTTTACTCTCTTTTAAAAAATGTTTCGGGTCGAATTTATTATCAAAATTGAGGGGAAAAGGCAAATTTAAAAATCTTGAGGGTAGCTGGTTGGGGCGGGGGTTTTGCGAGTTCATCTTTAATTTTGCCGTTTAAATGCCATAAAAAAAAGGCCCCTTTAAAAGGCGTTTTGGTTCATCCGGAAGCT